AAAAGCTATCTTTCCTGAACATTAGCATTAGCAACATGGAAGCAAATAACCTGGAATGAAAGACAGGGAGCAGTTGTTGAACACCTTGTGAAAGACATTAAGGCAAATACACGTTTATCATTCGGTAGGCTGTTACTTTTGATATAAGAATTTGAATATGCATCAAAAAAGCTATCTTTCCTGAACATTAGCATTAGCAACATGGAAGCAAATAGCCTGAAGTGAAAAACAGGGAGGAGTTGTTGATCACTTTGAATGAGACATTAGGACAATTGCATGTGCTCTCTTCTGTGGGCTGTTACTTTTGCCATAAGAATTTGAATATGCATCAAAAAAGCTATCTTTCCTGAACATTAGCATTAGCAACATGGAAGCAAATAACCTGGAATGAAAGACAGGGAGCAGTTGTTGAACACCTTGTGAAACACATTAAGGCAAATACACGTTTATCGTTCGGTAGGCTGTTACTTTTGCCATAAGAATTTTAATATGCATCAAAAATCTATCTTTCCTGAACATTAGCATTAGCAACATGGAAGCAAATAACCTGGAATGAAAGACAGGGATCAGTTGTTGAACACCTTGTGAAAGACATTAAGGCAAATACACGTTTATCGTTCGGTAGGCTGTTACTTTTGCTATAAGAATTTTAATATGCATCACAAAAGCTATCTTTCCTGAACATTAGCATTAGCAACATGGAAGCAAATAACCTGGAATGAGAGACAGGGAGCAGTTGTTGAACACCTTGTGAAAGACCTTAAGACAAATGCACGTTTTCTGTTCTGTAGGCTGTTACTTTTGCCATAAGAATTTAAATATGCATCAAAAAATCTATTTTTCCTGAACATTAGCATTAGCAACATGGAAGCAAATAGCCTGGAATGAAAAACAGGGAGAAGTTTGTGGCCATACAAACGAAGTGGCCATAGTTTGTATGACGTCATGTACGTTCAGAGGCGGACTGGCATCAAACCTCTCGGGTTGCTATATGCAGAAAAGGGGCCCGTACTACGTATAATGTAAGCAACAGGGGCGTTGTGGCTCCTAGAAAAGGGCCGGGAGAAAATTATCATAAGGTGGCCCACTCTTGTGTATGACATCTCCAATCACAAACCCAATTCACCAAAAATGATATGTACCTGGAAACCATGCACCTATGAAATCTTGAAAAGATGCCAGTTTTTATCATTTTTAAAGGGTCATCTGCTATATTACTGGGGTGTAGCCCCTTTTCTCTAACTGCAAAAATGTCAAACAAATCCAATGCTGTAGTGCACAGTTGATACTTACAAAAATGTAACAGAAAACTTATATGCCAATTATCCGAAACATGTCGTCATTATAGAGTTTTGCACGACATGTTTCGGATAATTGGCAGAGCCCGGTCGTCCTTCCATCTAGCAGTTTTGGAGTCAATCTACATAAAAACGAAAAAGCCGCCATTGTGTAGACAAAAGGAGTTCGTTTTCTCTCTTGGACTCCATTGGTAATTTTTCTTTAGGCTCGCGGCACTGGTTGGTCAACTATACCGGTCTTGTGCTTGCGTTTTTCTGATTGGCCTATTTCGATCCACAACTGGGTATATATTTTTCCATCGTGTTTTTTCGGAACCTATTCTGACGTTTTATGCTCTGAGGAGTGTCAGACGAAAAAGCTTTAAGTATGTTGTAAAATGTTTGCTTTTTTCAAAGTATATATATTTCCTAGCATAGAGTTTTCGATCTTTGTTCTGACGTTTTAAACTCTGAAGAGTGTCAGACGAAAAGCTTTAGTTTACTAAATGTTTGCTTTTTTCAAAGCCATTTTCAAGTTTTGAACCACCAAAAGATTTTTAAAAAAGCTGCAGTCCAGTCTTTGTTTTCTGTCGTAGTTTTTGTCAGTGTTAGTAAAATTAAATGTAGTAATACCGTCTGTAATGTGTTCGCATGCTATGCAGTTACTTCGCGAGTGGTATTTGTAAAGGCCAATCTCCATTGGGCGAAATTTTTTCGCTTTTGCGCTGACGAAAAGCGAAAACTACATGGCACACAATCTCCAGCTCACAATAGCTTTGCGTGCCAAATAGAAAGCAAATATCTGCGTGCCAAGAATTTCAAGATGTCGGATGAAAATATAAATATTCTGATTTTGCTTTATTTGTTGAAAAAACCAAACAAAGCAACCAAAAGAAATTAAAAGGCTTTGGGTACATAAATTCTATCAAGCGCTAGGAGCTTACAAAAATCTGGTTATAGATCTACAATTACATGACCACCAACTATTTTTTACCATTTTTCGTATGCAAAGTTTGTCTTTGGTGGTTCCCTATCTAGTGAACGAATCGAAGTTTCGCAAACTAATAGATGCTATGAGAGATTATGTCTCTAAAACACCTTGTGGCATGAGCTATAGGATAAGCCCCACTGCTGTTGGTAGGACTATAAAAGAAACATGTATCGTACTTGTAACAAGACATTTTATTATTTCCTCATCCAACACGAAGCTGCTTTTGGACTCAGATATTTTACTATATGTACATAGGACTTCAAATTCACCGGCGACAGAGAAAAAAGTTCAAATGGTTTGAACTTTCAAGGCGAACGTCGCGCACAGCCCACGAAACAAAAAAAATCAAATACGCATGCTCATAACCTTTCGCCGGCGAAGAAGCGAAAAAATTTCGCCCAATGGAGATTGGCCTTAAGTGCCTCTGGGATTACTGGGTGTGCCACTTTTTATTCTGGCACGAACCAGTATATCCCGGAGATTTTTAGATCTGCGGTAACTCTAAGTATAGGTACGTCAGGAAAGACTTCTTTGCATGTTTCGAAGTTCTGTAATATGTTCATATTTTGTTTGAGGAATGAGGATGGTAGATAGTTGTGGTAAAGAGGGGTGGTAGGTGACAACAAATGGTGTTCTGTGATTTGTTCGTTGTTTTGTGGTTTTCAGGCAGTCTTGTCTCGTTTATTTAGAAGCCTTCCTTATTTGTTTGCGTGTCTGTTTTGTTTTGTAACCCCTTCAATGCTGCGTTTTGGCAGTTTTGGTCACAACGGAGTTTTCGAAAATGATCAGCTCGGCAGCATCCTCAAATCTTTCTACCAATAAAAAATTTATATCGTACAGCCACGACGATCTTAAAGTGCGACTGCTTCTTCTTGCATAATAACACAGATCTGTGATAATTATGCCAAGAATTCAATTCAATCCTCGTACGCGATTTGGTTTGGCTTTCGGTTACAGAGACCCTCTACTTTCAAGTTAGGGGTCTGGGGCACAGGCTATTCGAGAGGGTCTGGATCTTTTGTTATGGGTGGTAAATTTTCCCTTGGCCCCCACTTTTCAAGCTTTGTCGGAGCCCATGCAAAACAATGGTATTCCAGTTGGAAAAGATCAGCTTTTTTCAGATAGTGCAATGGCGAGTAATCTTGATTATTCTGTGATATGGTGTTGCGTTTGTTGTTGCGTTCTCAAGGATTTCGTTTCTCTTTTCAGAAAGTGATAATGGTGCGTCACCTCTCTTGTTTGTAACCCTGTGCTTTTCTGACAACCAATCAAATCCACGGGAAAGTGAGGCTGATTCAACAACGAAAGAAATGTTGCTACAAGCACACGTGGGCAGTTGAAAAACCTATAAAAACAGGTTAAATCACGGAAAGCACCTCCACCACAACACAGCCAGCTTGGTATGTAGCATACTTCCAATAATTTTCTGTACTTATTTGGAAAACAACTTTTTCTCTGCATTATTTAATCTTTGGGCTGCGATATCACTGTGTTTTGAGACGCTCAGTTCTGCACGTGCGCATAGAGCAGTCCTCTCGGAGAGAAAGGCCATCTATAGAATTTTCTAGTCCGACATAAGGATAGCATTCCCCTCTTTTCTCGCAATTTTAAATCGACTAAATAATATGGAAAACTTAGGTTTGCAAGCCATACTTCTATTACACAAATTTTCAGTCTCCAATGTTTCAAGAGCCTAGAAATGATACAAACTGAAGCTATCGTTTGGTCAATTATATTCATTCTTCTTGTAAAGTGGATGAAATTTTCAGTGATCATTGAGATTTCCTAACGTTGTGTAGCCAACAGAATCGCTCTTTGAAATTTGAATTTCTGTTAACACCGTCTCGAAATGCCTCTTTTTCAAAGCATAATTCTCTGTTTCGGTCGATTTTTAATCTTCGCATTTGCCAAAATTCGATCATAGAATTGGAATCTTCGTGTTGAAATTAGTTAGTGTCGTCAGTTTCCTGGTGTTTCGACTGTTAGGCAGTGAATCACCCCCTTTTCAAAATTTAGCTTTTCCTGTACATTTCAATGGAATTATTAATTGATGCAAATCTAGCCTCGTATATCTACATAAATTTTGTTAAAGGTGGCTTTGAACTGTTTTTTTTTACTTGAAAATGTACAGTGAGTAGGGATAAAGAGAAAGTGGGATGAAAGATAAGATTTTCAAATAAATGGAAGGGGAAGGAGGAATGGAAGGTCACATGGCGCTCAGCTTAGAATTATCCTCATTTTAGTTTGAAGTAAAAAAATTAAGGGTCAAGTTCTACAACAGGTTGAATTGTGTGCAGAGAGAGTAATTAAGATCATAAATTTGCATGGCATTAGTTGCAAAAAGTCTTCAAAATTGCAAGGGCTTCTTAGAGGTAAAGCAATGTGCCATAAAATTGAACCTGGGGGGGGGGGACTGAGAATCAAATTTAGTGGCATCTAGGAGGACCCACCATGGTTGGGTCTGACACAGAAGAAACTTTTTGAAATCAAGCCTTCTAAAATTTAACAAATACTATACCGCTCAGAATAAACAATTTGATGTTTTTTCAGAAAAAACATTGATTATTGATTTTTAGGATCAAATTTTGGGAGGGGAGGAGTTATGCTATAATTCTAGTGACAGATGTTGGGGAAAGAAAGAAAGAAAGAGTGGCCTTTGGTTCAGAGTGCACATTGATGTGAATAACAGGAAGCTATTTTATTGATTGAGAGAATTTTACTTCTTGAACAGAAATGTGCATCTTCTTTGTTGTGAGTATTTCCAATAGGCCATGTTTGCACATCCTAAATGCAGACATTGCAATGATACAGAAAGCTATCTAGAAATATGCCTAAATACGTTAGTAAATAGATCAAGTTAAATCAATCTGTATATAGAATTGTTGGAATTGTTGTAGCCACCAATACCATTTTGTCAAAGGAAACTTCATAAATTCAAAGACATACACCCTCCTCCCAAAAGTGTTGAGTCAATTTTGTGTCAGTAGATGGTCAAGTAAATGAAGCAAAAGAAAAGAAAAATTAATAAATAATATTTTTAGAATAACAACAGGGAACAGGTCAGTATTTCAGCCAATAATAAAGCAAGGTAGGAAATTACACTAAATTTCCGATTTAAAGTCCATTGTTTCCTATTGTGAGTATTCCAATACTCAGGAAGGTAACCATGAAACAAAAGGGTAGCATGAAGCTGGTGAGGAATTTTTTATCACCAAAGAACTTCAGCCAGAGGAATGGCATATTTTGGTCTTTGTCAATGGTCAAAGCTTATAGTTCAAGCAATGCTCAAAGCTCTCCTTATAGTGAGTCCTTAAAGGGGATCAGATACCCACCTAGCAGTGCCTTTTTGCTCCAATATCTTGCTAACTTTTCTTTTCTTGCATTGACATTATGTTGACTTTGATATTTCTTAGCAATATCCATAATGGCAGTAATGCTGTCATTAGTTATCCATGCTCAAATTTAAGCCAAATCTGTTATCAGCAGGGCCCGTGCCACTAGTGGGGCCGGGGTGGCCATGGCCCCTCCCCACTTTTTTGCAAAGCAATTAGTTTTAAAACTGCAATAAAAGGGGTAAGAAGTCTTGGCCCCCTACATTTTTAGCCTTGCCTAAGTAAGCCTAAGCCTTAGCCTAAGTAAATGAACTTGACATGCATGTCTCAAGAGAACAAGCAATAAAATGAACAAACCAATAGCTATCAAATATGAATGTGACTGTCCTAATGCTATTATTGCAGTTCTGTATTAAAAATGAAAATGATGTGCAAAAACTAAAAGGGCAATAATCCGTCTGGGTTAAGCCCTGGTTGACCTGAAGAAATGAACTGGGAGTTGATAAACATGCTTTTGCAAGAATTTCTTCTGAAAGGGGACAAATCTCAAAGGTTCTTGATAAAGCCTTTTGAAGATTTTGATGACTTTTGCAAATTGTTGAAATTGATATTAAAAAACAAGGTTGCACGAGGCAATACCAGCAAAGATAAAATTTCTTTCACTCCTGGCAGCCATTTTTAATAATTTTAAAAAGCAGCTTGATATGAAAAACCTAGCTGGTGGAGTGAAACCCTTGAAGTGCTCAAAAGAGGATTAAAAAATACATAAAAAAGGTTCTACAAAAGTTGAACACACCCAGCTTTTTTAAAAGGATGTTTCACTTTGCCTAAACAGCTATTTTGACATCAAATATTGTGTTTATACTGTCCAATATTCAATGAATCAAATTCAATTAAATGCATGGTGTATTTCAGCCTTATTAAAGTATTAAGGAATAAACACATCTCATCTCACGCTCTTTGGTGAGTTTTTCAACCAGTTTGTAGAACAGTGTTACTTACATGTGGTCATAGTTTCTAGACAGTCTTGCTGATCATGTCTTTGTGATGTTTTCTGCCATTATTGATTTGCTTTTCCATTGACAGTTGATATTCCAATTCATTATCTCGGGCCTGCACCACTGATCATAAACTGGAGGGTCCAGCAGTATAAAAAAAGTTTCCTCACACTCTCTCTAGCCCTAGTTGTGGCAAAAATTTTGCTGACACTGCAGACCTGTCAAGTTTCAGTTTTGAAAATGAATGAGATTCTTTTGAAAGGGAGGGAAAATGTTTGGTCCAGAACGAATCCTGACTGCCACACAACCAAAAGTAGGGTCCTGGGGCGTATCCCCCAAAATATTTCTTTTACCATGCCCTCTAGTTCTTCGGAAACGCCTTTTTTGAGAAGGGACCGCACAGAAGTGGGTGGGGGATTGAGGGGGCTTTGTTTTTCGCCATTCTTTTCAGTTTTTATTGCGAAAGAATGTATAACAGTACATAATCATGAAATAATTTAATCTGGTGCGCTGGCGCCGCCCAAATGATTACAAAAGAGTACAGAACTGTGGACCAAGAATGCAGAGGAAGAAATGCAGGCGTACAAGCAAGCGGAGGAGCGTCGTAGTGTAACTGAAACCCCAAATATCATTCTCGAGAAAAAGTTACTTCGCTCTGACAACTCCGATTGCAATTTGCAGTTGTGAAACTCTAATTTAAGGGATATTATGCTCCTCTTTTACATTTCCAATTAATCCACAATGGTCATAGTCGCAGAAAAGCTAACCTGCTATTTGTGCTTGCCAATGAATGTAACGTCATTCACCAACCTGTGCAAATTCGCTGTTATCTAGTCCTCTTATTATCTAGTTGCTGTTGTCGTGCTGACATGACTTGTTAGGAAAGAGGGATTTTGCTAGGATTTGGAATAAAATTGAAAAATTTGAATAAAGCGAGGATTCTGCTTTGATGCGTGCGAGCGTAAGAAAGGCGTGTCTCACGCAAAATGCATGTGACTTGGTAGGTCTGACACTCTTATACTGGTGGACTTTGGTTCAATGTATTTGCTGTAGTTTACAGATTTATCTGTCCAAGATAATTTGAGCTGACTTTAATCTTTAATTTCACAAAAGGTGGGGGGGCCATGGCACCCCTGGCCACCCCTGTTGGGCACGCCCTGTATCTTCATTATCCAATTCATTATCTGAACTATCAACAACCTTATGCTTTAATTGTTTGAAGATGTAATGCCTCTTATATTTGTAGATAACTCCATCAGTGATATAGAAGCGCCGAAAGCGCTAGATGTCTAACTCGGGTCATGCTGCGTACTGCCGAGAGAGGCAAATTTGTTGCCCCAGCCCCTGCTATCAAAAGCAATATGCCTATGAGTTTTTAGTTGAATTTCAAAATAAAATAGTTTGTCACAGGATGTTTGGAGAGTGTTATTCTCTGTCATTCGAACAACAGATTTCACTATCAAAGGACATTTGATTGCGGCAGGAAAGAGCACTATTATTCAAAAGGGACACAAATTGGAATATGCACATATTCCATAATCAAAAATAGGCAATTTTGGAAAAAATCCTCTTACCCCTAAAATATAATTTAACAAGCTTCAATAATTAGTCATAATGACCGTTAACGTTTGTGTTAATCCCCTGTCCCATAATTATTATTTATATTATTATTAGTATTACTATCTATTTATTTAAAGTAGGCGTATAAAAATAGCTTCAAAATAAAAGCTAATTCAAGCCTGCTACAAAGTAAAATTCTTTAGAGATAAAAAAATAAAAATACATATATATATCTAACATAAACAATAATTAAGTATAAATACATATAAACATATTTTACAATGTTTTTACAGCATTTTTGGCATTTACAATACAATAAATTTATCAGTTCAAGAACCCAACGTGAGCCATGAAATGTCTACACAGTTTACAGTTGCATTCCTATCCCTTCCAAGAGTTTATTCTCCTTTTAAAGCTGGAGAGGGTATCTGATTATGTAGTATAATACATTCCTAAACCCAATAGCCTACATAAAGATAACTTTATTCAGTTACAACGATTCTGAATGAAAAGACCACAGAATAGTGCTAAGTTAATTTTTCCAAAGTGCCAACCCTCTTAGTTGTTCGATATCAGGCACTCGAAATATTTCACATTAGTCGTAGATCAAAAAACGAATAAGGCTAGTCATAAATCTCGGATTTTACAGAAAATTTATTATCAAAAGAAAGTCATTTGTGTGAATTTTCCAGCGAATTTGCAGAGCGTGTTTCCATTCAGAGGGATGCCGTGTTTCACATTTCGCTAGCGAATTTGCCCATGCCCGGAAAGAACAAACGACATTCCAATCGCTGTCGGATTCGCTGAAGATTTCGCTCAAGTGGAAACCGCCCTTTACATGATATCCGAAATGAAATTTTTCTCGAAATGTTGTGTCACATTTCATTTCGGTTGATTTTCAAACGATTTGTTTGTTCATTGGGACACGTTCTGTTCTGTATATTTATATGTTGCATGGCGGGATATGTTTATTTCTGTTTTTCCGACCAGCATGAAGTTTCATTTCGGGGCGAAAAGAAATAAAACCTAATTGAGTTTACTGTTATTCATGGTGTGAACACTTTCCTTTTTCTCCTTATGGCCCGAAATGAAATTCAATTTTATCCGAGACAAAGCTTTGTTTCGGGGCCCAGGTGGTCTATGTGATAGGCAATAAAATTTCGCTATTTTACAAGCTTTCTATTAGCTACTCTATAAGGTTGTCATTTACGTATTCTATTTCTGAAAACAGCTGTTACTGAAAAGAACAACAAATGCCCTTTTTTCATCATCAGTATCTTCTTATTTTCTATGTCCTCGTCAGTATTTTTATAGTTCTTGTTTATCGACGTATTCTACCTCTTCTTTTACTTACTTATCTTCCTATTTTTCTACCTCCTCTTCTTCCTCTTCTTGTACCTCCTCTTCTACCTCCTCTTCTTCCTTTTCTTCTGTCTCTTCATCTACCTCCTCTTCTTTCTCTCTTCCTCTTCTTGTACCTCCTCTTCTTCCTCTTCTTGTACCTCCTCTTCTACCTCCTCTTCTTCCTCTTTTCCTCTTTTGTACCTCCTTCTCTTCCTCTTCTTCTGACCTCCTCATCTTCCTCTTCTTCTGACCTCTTCTTCTACTTCCTCTTCTGCATCTTCTTCTGCTTCTTCTTCTGCATCTTCTCTTTCTCAATCTTCTCTTTCTTAATCTGCCCTATCTTCCTCTACTTCTTCTTTCCTCTTTACCTTCCTTTTTGCTCGTCGTTTCTCTCCTGTCCATTTCCTACTTTTTCATTTCATTTTATTTTAGTTATTTTCTTTAGAGATAGGTCCCTTTTAGCATCTGCTGTTTTCGAAGGGGTCCTCCGTTTAAAAAAACATACAATATTTATAAACGAAAACTATTTAGCTACAGCAATTGCAATGAGCCTTAGTGCTTTCTGCATAGGGAATTAAACACTAGTAATGAAAAATTTTGTTACTTCTAAATGGAAGCTTTGAAGGCACTGAGGTTGGATGCCTGTTTTGACCCAACTGAGAACCCGTTCTAAATATTTACTCTTAAAAACTTATACTTATACAGAAAAACTTATTTGTCCGTTTGCTTAGTGATTTGACGGGAAGCCTCAAGTCTATTCTATTTAACACATACTTCCTTTTCTCTTCCGACTTTTTCTTCCTCTTCTCACACAACGTTCTCTTGTTTCTCCTTCTCACTCTTTCTTTACTCCTTTTCTTAAACGTCATCTACTTCTCTTCCTCAATTTATCTTATTCTTCTCCCTCCATTTGCTATTCAGCCTCTTCCTCGACTTCTTTTTCCTCTACCTTTCCTTCCTTTTCTCCCTCCATTTCCTCTTTAATTCCTTCTTCGACTTTTATTTATTCTTCCTCTTCTTCTTCCTCTTCTTCTGTCTCTTCCTCTACCTCCTCTTCTACCTCCTCTTCTTCCCCTTCTTCTTCCTTTCTTCTTTTTCTTCTTCCTTTTCTTCTTCTTCTTCTTCCTCTTCTTCTTCCTCTTCTTCTTCCTCTTCTTCTTCCTCTTCTTCTTCCTCTTCTTCTTCCTTCTCTTCTGTCTCTTCCTCTACCTCCTCTTCTACCTCCTCTTCTTCCCCTTCTTCTTCCTTTCTTCTTTTTCTTCTTCCTTTTCTTCTTCTTCTTCTTCCTCTTCTTCTTCCTCTTCTTCTGTCTCTTCCTCTACCTCCTCTTCTACCTCCTCTTCTTCTTCCTCTTCTTCTTCCTCTTCTTCTTCCTCTTCTTCTTCCTCTTCTTCTTCCTCTTCTTCTTCCTCTTCTTCTTCCTCTTCCTCTACCTCCTCTTCTACCTCCTCTTCTTCTTCCTCTTCTTCTTCCTCTTCTTCTTCCTCTTCTTCTTCCTCTTCTTCTGTCTCTTCCTCTACCTCCTCTTCTTCCTCCTCTTCTTCCCCTTCTTCTTCCTTTCTTCTTTTTCTTCTTCCTTTTCTTCTTCTTCTTCTTCCTCTTCTTCTTCCTCTTCTTCTTCCTCTTCTTCTTCCTCTTCTTCTTCCTCTTCTTCTTCCTCTTCTTCTTCCTCTTCTTCTTCCTCTTCTTCTTCCTCTTCTTCTTCCTCTTCTTCTTCCTCTTCTTCTTCCTCNTAACGTCATTCACCAACCTGTGCAAATTCGCTGTTATCTAGTCCTCTTATTATCTAGTTGCTGTTGTCGTGCTGACATGACTTGTTAGGAAAGAGGGATTTTGCTAGGATTTGGAATAAAATTGAAAAATTTGAATAAAGCGAGGATTCTGCTTTGATGCGTGCGAGCGTAAGAAAGGCGTGTCTCACGCAAAATGCATGTGACTTGGTAGGTCTGACACTCTTATACTGGTGGACTTTGGTTCAATGTATTTGCTGTAGTTTACAGATTTATCTGTCCAAGATAATTTGAGCTGACTTTAATCTTTAATTTCACAAAAGGTGGGGGGGCCATGGCACCCCTGGCCACCCCTGTTGGGCACGCCCTGTATCTTCATTATCCAATTCATTATCTGAACTATCAACAACCTTATGCTTTAATTGTTTGAAGATGTAATGCCTCTTATATTTGTAGATAACTCCATCAGTGATATAGAAGCGCCGAAAGCGCTAGATGTCTAACTCGGGTCATGCTGCGTACTGCCGAGAGAGGCAAATTTGTTGCCCCAGCCCCTGCTATCAAAAGCAATATGCCTATGAGTTTTTAGTTGAATTTCAAAATAAAATAGTTTGTCACAGGATGTTTGGAGAGTGTTATTCTCTGTCATTCGAACAACAGATTTCACTATCAAAGGACATTTGATTGCGGCAGGAAAGAGCACTATTATTCAAAAGGGACACAAATTGGAATATGCACATATTCCATAATCAAAAATAGGCAATTTTGGAAAAAATCCTCTTACCCCTAAAATATAATTTAACAAGCTTCAATAATTAGTCATAATGACCGTAAACCTTTGTGTTAATCCCCTGTCCCATTATTATTATTTATATTATTATTAGTATTACTATCTATTAAATATTTAAAGTAGGCGTATAAAAATAGCTACAAAATAAAAGCTAATTCAAGCCTACTACAAAGTAAAATTGTTTAAAAATAAAAAAATGTAAGTACATATATATCTAACATAAGAAATAATTGAGTATAAAAACATAAATACATATTTTGTAATGTTTTTACAGCATTTTTGGCATTAACAATACAATACATTTATCCGTTCAAGAACCCAACCTGAGTCATGAAATGTCTACACAGTTTACAGTTGCATTCCTATCCCTTCCAATAGTTTATTCTCCTTTTAAGGCTGGAGAGGGTATCTGATTGTGTAATTTGTGAACATTCCTATACCCAATAGCCCACATATGAATAACTTTATTCAGTTATAACGATTCTGAATGAAAAGACCACAGAATAGTGCTAAGTTAATTTTTCCAAAGTGCCAACACTCTCAGTTGTTCGATATCAGGCACTCGAAATATTTCACATTAGTCATAGATCAAAAAACGAATAAGGCTAGTCATAAATCTCGGATTTTACAGAAAATTTATTATCAAAAGAAAGTCATTTGTGCGAATATTCCAGCGAATTTGCAGAGCGTGTTTCCATTCAGAGGGATGCCGTGTTTCACATTTCACTAGCGAATTTGCCCATGCCCGGAAAGAACAAACGACATTCCAATCGCTGTCGGATTCGCTGAAGATTTCGCTCAAGTGGAAACCGCCCTTTGCATGATATCCGAAATGAAATTTTTCTCAAAATGTTGTGTCACATTTCATTTCGGTTGATTTTCAAACGATTTGTATGTTCATTGGGACATGTTCTTTTTTGTATATTTATATGTTGCATGGCGGGATATGTTTATTTCTGTTTTTCCGACCAGCATGAAGTTTCATTTCGGGGCGAAAAGAAATAAAACCTAATTGAGTTTACTGTTATTCATGGTGTGAACACTTTCCTTTTTCTCCTTATGGCCCGAAATGAAATTCAATTTTATCCGAGACAAAGCTTTGTTTCGGGGCGCATGTAAAGGTGGTCTATGTGATAGGCAATAAAATTTCGCTATTTTACAAGCTTTCTATTAGCTACTCTATAAGGTTGTCATTTACGTATTCTATTTCTGAAAACAGCTGTTACTGAAAATAACAACAAATGCCCTTTTTTCATCATCAGTATCTTCTTATTTTCTAGGTCCTCGTCAGTATTTTTATAGTTCTTGTTTATCGACGTATTCTACATCTTCTTTTACTTACTTATCTTCCTCTTTTTCTACCTCCTCTTCTTCCTCTTTTTCTGTCTCTTCCTCTACCTCCTCTTCTACCTCCTCTTCTTCCATTTCTTCTACCTCCTCTTCTTCCACTTCTTCTGACCTCCTCTTCTTCCTCTTCTTGTACCTCCTCTTCTACCTCCTCTTCTTCCTTTCTTCTGTCTCTTCCTCTACCTCCTCTTCTTCCTCTCTTCCTCTTCTTGTAATTCCTCTTCTTCCTCTTCTTCTGACCTCTTCATCTTTCTCTTCTTCTGACCTCATCTACTTCCTCTTCTGCATCTTCTCCTTCTTAATCTTCCCTATCTTCCTCTACTTCTTCTTTCCTCTTTACCTTCCTTTTTGCTCGTCGTTTCTCTCCTGTCCATTTTACTCCCCTTCCTATTTGTTCATTTCATTTTATTTTAGTTATTTTCTTTAGAGATAGGTCCCTTTTAGCATCTGCTGTTTTCGAAGGGGTCCTCCGTTTAAAAAAAACATACAATATTTATAAACGAAAACTATTTAGCTACAGCAATTGCAATGAGCCTTAGTGCTTTCTGCATAGGGAATTAAACACTAGTAATGAAAAATTGTGTTACTTCTAAATGGAAGCTTTGAAGGCACTGAGGTTGGATGCCTGTTTTGACCCAACTGAGAACCCGTTCTAAATATTTCCTCTTAAAAACTTATACTTATACAGAAAAACTTATTTGTCCGTTTGCTTAGTGATTTGACGGGAAGCCTCAAGTCTATTCTATTTAACACATACTTCCTTTTCTCTTCCGACTTTTTCTTCCTCTTCTCACACAACGTTCTCTTGTTTCTCCTTCTCACTCTTTCTTTACTCCTTTTCTTAAACGTCATCTACTTCTCTTCCTCAATTTATCTTATTCTTCTCCCTCCATTTGCTATTCAGCCTCTTCCTCGACTTCTTTTTCCTATACCTTTCCTTCTTTTTCTCCCTCCATTTCCTCTTTAATTCCTTCTTCGACTTTTATTTATTCTTCCTCTTCTTCTTCCTCTTCTTCTTCCTCTTCTTCTTCCTCTTCTTCTGTCTCTTCCTCTACCTCCTCTTCTACCTCTTCTTCTTCCCCTTCTTCTTCCTTTCTTCTTTTTCTTCTTCCTTTTCTTCTTCTTCTTCTTCCTTTCTTCTTTTTCTTCTTCCTTTTCTTCTTCTTCTTCTTCCTCTTCTTCTTCCTCTTCTCCCTCAATGTCTTCTTTCTCTACTTTATCATCCTCCTCTCTCTCTCAACTTGTTTTCCTTGTCTTCTTTTCCTTTTATTTTCACATCTCCCTCTATTTTTCACTCTTCTAGCTTCTTTTCTTCTTCTTTGTATATTTTCTTTTTCACGCAGTAATCAGAGTCACAGGCATTCATACTTATTTTTGATACCGACATTGCCAGAAGTGTCTTTTGCAACATCTTTAGTGGGTGTATTCCTAATGAAATGGGCTGGCATTGTTGTTAGACGGGGTGCCGTCAAACACCCGGCAATTCTCTAGAGCTTGGAGATCCGTCAATTTTTTTTGTTATCCACTATAGGCGATGATATAAATGAAAATATTGTGACAATCGATTACTTATCAATCCATTCTGATAAATGCTTCCCTTTTTCATACAGGCTAATTAAAAAGCGTGAAAATGTGTGGAATCTGGGCCCTTTTTGGCTACGATCACAGTGTGTCGTCAGAAATACATCATGCATTATTGGTGGCCCATCGCGGTCCCGACTTCTTTCGCTTGGAAACAATCCCACACATTAATCATTGCTGTTTGGCATTCCATCGATTGTCAATCGTTGATGACCTCTATGGACAGCAGCCAATCAGAATCCACAATCTGCCGCACATTCACATGATTTACAATGGCGAAATATACAACTTCAAAGAGCTGGGCAAACAATTCGGGTTTGACTTCGAAACAAGGTGAGTGTTTTTTTATTTTTTATGATTATTTCTATTTCTATTGCAGTATAAAGTGACAATGCATATCAAGATGTTATCTACTTAACAAGTTACTTTATCCTATTGCTATGACGGTATCCCGTTACGTAAATGACCGTACCAAACCTAAGGTTAATTCTGTTTCAATTGGCTTTCCCCGCAGCCTTTGATCGTATCACCTGCCGGATCATTAACGACAAGAGCAAATTGAAGCAAGTTTTTTGTAAATAAAGCTGACTTTACGTTTTCCCAAAAAGCGTGCTATATTATAATAGAAAACAGGTGGAAAACTTCACCTCAGTCGAAAGTCGCTGTCGAAATGCTGTTATCTTGAATGAAAATTCGAATCGCAGTCCAACTATTATAAGCAAAATTTCAATAGAAAATTTCATCGAAGTTCCATTTCAACAATAACATGTCAAAACATTGTCTTTTGGTTGTGTGTGAAAATATTAAATTCTGCGCTGGCAGCTGATAGTGTGAGAAAGGGGCGCAAAAAACTGCTAAAACGGTGTTTGCATACATCTGTCATAAGCTGTGGGTGGGGAGATTTGACCCACGCATAAGGCAAATTATTTCAGACACGAAGACACGTGGAGTTAGCTATGGCAGTATTCCCGGGGTTTTCCAAGACATTCTACCAATAACAAGGCTAATCCCCCCCACCAACTTACTCATTTTTGCCTGCTCCCCACCAAAACAAACATGTGGAACACTGCAGCAACGAACATGCCTGGAAGACTGTTAAGAAGATGATTGAAAATGGCTTTGAAAAGAGCAAACATTTCTCTTCAGATTTCAAGTACTAGAATCTCTACGGTCTGATAATGAAACCTTTATCACAAAGCCCGATAAAGGGTCAGGGCTGGTTATTTTGAACAAAAAGGACTACATCGAAAAAATGGAGAATATTCTCCTCGACAAGGAAAAGTTCGAAAAACTGGGTGACGTCGAAACACAGGATAAAACGGCCAAGCTCGAGTGGAAACTTCAAAAACGCTTTTTGGAGCTGGTCAACTCATATAAGTGTTGACCAACGAAATTTACGATAGGATAAGACCCACAGGCTCACAACGTCCACAAATGTATGGCCTAAAATACACAAGCCGAACGTCCCACTTAGACCTATCTTGTCTATGATTGGCTCAGCACAACACGAACTGGCTAAGTGGCTTTCTGAAGTTTTGGACCCTGTTCTTCAAAAATATTTAAAGCATTGCATCAAGGATTCTTTTACATTCGCTGAGTTCATGCAAAACTTGAACATCGAAAACGAAACATCTTTCTTGTGTTCTTTCAACATTAATAGTCTTTTCACAAAAGTTCCTTTGAGTGAGACCATCAAAATATGCGCCGATGCTTTGTACCGGAGCGAGCATAATAGCCCACCATTCCCAGAGGAAGTATTCATTGAACTGATGGAAACTGCAACACGTTCTGTTGAATGCAGCTTTAACAATGAAATGTACCAACAAAAGGATGGTGTCGCTATGGGTAGCCCTCTGGGACCTGCCTTAGCCAATATCTTTGTTGGCTTCATGAAGAGCGTTTGTTTGACTGCGACCAAAAAGGCAGGAAATTATTTTCGTTATGTTGATGACACATTAGCTATTTTCAAATCAGTGGCTGAGAAGCTGAGTGTGATGTTTTTCTAAAACGCCTTAATGGCCTTCACCCGGCCCTACAGTTAACATTTAAAAGGGGAAGAAAACAACTCCTTGCCATTTCTAGATGTTTTGGTTGAAAAGTCCAGCACTGGTTTTTTACCAGGGTATACCGTAATCAATGGAGTTCGTTTTGCCCAAAACAAAGAAAAATCAGCCTCATTAAAACGCTTACACATAGGGCACTGATGATTTGCTCCAAGTCTAAACTCAACTCGGAACTTGAACAACTAAAAACGATTTTTCTGGAGAACGGCTATCCAGTGGAGTATCATTTCAGTTTACATTAAGGAGAAGATATTTCTCGGCTGACGTAAAATTTGGTCCAAAGATTGGAGGATAGAATGAAGCAGCATGTCCCTTCCAGCATTAAAAGCAAAACCCTTTCCCAAACAGAACAGCCACTTCAGTCTTGCAGATCAAAAACAACTAGTAAAACATGCGATTCTACTATCGGGCAGCTTTTACTGGAAAACTCAGATTGTGAAAAAACTATAATGGCGACATGTTTTTCTGATTATTGGCAAAGCCCGATCGTCGTTGCATCTAGCAGTTTTGGAATCTATCTACACAAGCACGAAAAAACCGCTTTTGTGCAGACAGAAGGTGTTCGTTTTCACCTTAGGTTTGCAATCCCGTTAGTGAAAAGGTTTGCAATACCGTTTTGTTCCAATGAAGACGTTTTCCATATTTCTATTGGTTTCAATCTCTTCCGTTTAATTTTTATTTTCCGTCGTTACTTCATATGAAATGTCACTAGCCTAGCTCTCTATCGCAACGTCAAGTAAATTTTTTGTGCCTGAGTGTTATCATTTGTATGAAAAATAAGATATTTCTCTTCTGAAAAGAAAATTAATGGGCTTTCGTTTTTGAATATTTTCAGTAAATCATATTGCAGCCAGTTGCAATCATAATTTGGAGGACAATTCTTGAAGATTGGCGTCATTTTCCGAAGTCCTAAATTAACCACCACAAAACTGTGTCGGTGTTCTAAGAAATACCTCGTGACATTCTGCAACTGAATTCTTACGTTGTTTTTTGAAGTTCTAATACACTATGAAATTTGACAGGACTGTAAAGAGAAATAATCGGGATAAGGAAGAGAAAATTTAAAACGAAATTACTATCGTTGGTATTCTAAGTACTCCTGGCAGGCACTGTAGCTGAATGTGTATTTATTTTTGTAAGTACTTGGTAGGGCAAGTGAATTACATGCGATATAAATTTAATGCGAACTTAAACGGTAAAACATTTTTATGAGTTTTAACTCTTATGAGATATCCGTTTCTTGGATTCATATCCTCTTTGATCTCAGAAATATCAGAAACGAGCTTTGTTTATTTCACAATGAAATTTCTGAAATTGTTCATTCATGGCAAAGAGAAACACTCTCCAACTTTTAGCAGCACCCCCTTTTGCCTATGAACCTTGGTGTTAAATTTTCAAATTTCATGTTATTAATGAATTTGAATTTTTGCTGCAGGGTCGATGGTGAGGTTATAATTCATCTCTACCACAAATTTGGGGCGAAGAAGACTGCCCAACTTTTGGACGGAGTATTCGCATTCTGTATTGTTGACGCAGAGAAAAATCAAGTTCATATAGGCCGCGATACGTTCGGTGTCAGGCCTATGTACAGAATCCTGACGTCATCTGGTCAGATGGGTATTGCATCGGAAGCTAAAGGACTAATCGGATTAGTCAATGATGATGGTACTCAGGCAGAACTGAAGCAGTTCCCCCCTGCTAGCTTCGCTTCGTATAAGCTGGATCCTAAGGATGGGCGGGTACAGCTCCTTGATAGTGGACTCTACACTGACGTAGAGACACCACAAGTTTTCAATATCCCTGTCAATGTGGGTGAGGACATCAAAGAAAACATAAGGGCCTTATTGAGTGATGCTGTTCGAAAGCGGCTAATGGCAGAACGGAGGATTGGCTGTTTGCTGTCAGGTGGTCTGGACTCTAGCCTAATCGCTGCATTGGTTGTGAAGATTGCGAAGGAGCAGGGCGTTGAATATCCGATTCAAACGTTTTCAACTGGAATGCAAGGGAGCACAGATCTTGCTGCTGCAAAGAAGGTCGCTGACCGACTTGGCACAGAACACCATGAAGTCATCTTTAGCCCGGAAGATGGATTCAATGCCCTAAAGTCCGTTATTTGGTCGCTTGAATCTTATGATATTACGACCGTTCGCGCCTCTGTTGGTATGTATCTGGTGAGTAAGTACATACGTGAGAATACAGACACTGTCGTCTTGTTCTCAGGTGAGGGATCCGATGAACTTGCCCAGGGCTACATTTACTTTCACAAAGCACCTTCCCCTGAAGAAGCTGACGAGGAATCGAAACGGTTGCTGCGGGAACTCTATCTCTATGACAACCTGCGTGCAGACCGAACGACCGCTGCGCATGGCTTGGAGCTGCGCGTTCCATTCTTAGACAAGGCATTCACTGCCTACTATCTTTCAATCCCTCCCAAGATGAGGCAGCCCCAAAAGGGAATTGAGAAATACCTATTAAGGTCAGCATTTGATGGACATTTGACTGAATATCTACCCGACGAGATTCTGTGGCGTGCCAAGGAAGCATTCAGCGATGGAGTATCATCATTGGAGAAACCCTGGTACACAATGCTGAAAGAGTATTGTGCCAGTCAGCTGCAACCCGATGAGCTGGAAAAAAGCAAAGCCAAATATCCTGTCAACACGCCACAAACCGAGGAGGCCTATTTCTACAGAAAGGTGTTTGAGAACAATTTTCCAGATCAATCTGGTTTTACTCCGTACTTCTGGATGCCAAAGTGGATCAGCGGAGCGTCAGACCCGTCTGCGAGGACACTGAAACATTTCCATGCATAGTCGAAAATTAGGCATTTACCTGCAGAAAAACGACTATTTTTAATTAACAATTAATCGATACTGTAACAAGTAGAAATTTCAAAATATTTTGACTAAATGGCATTTTAGAGACTGTTGGGAAGTTATTAATCAAAGTTAACTAGGGATTAGGCTGTTCAGAACTTGATTTGAGCAAAATTTATGCGTTTATTTCAATAGGCTACACAATAACATCCAGCGCTTAATACTTAAAGGGCCTCTCCAGCCAAAAAAAAATTTTTTTTTTATTGACTAAAAAGTTAGCATCTGGTGCGTGTATTATGGCAAAGTCGTTGTTTTTGCAAAGTTTCAATTAGTTTAGAAGTTATAAGGCTTTAAAGTTGCACCTTTCCGAGAAAAAAACGACAGAAGCCGAATCAGTTTTGTGACATTCTGACGTCACAGTGTGCGGCTCTCGTTCGTCATGAATTTCGTATATCTTCCACCGAATCGTGAAGGAGTCATGGTCACGCGTTGATAACTGCATCTAAATCTACAGCAGGTGCTTTTTAGGATCGAAAAATATTAAATGTTTACAATTATTCTAAGTTTGCGGGTCGGAATGTGTCCATGCTGTGTGACGACTTTGTTTTGATCACCTGTGTAGGCCTACAAAGCTACGGCTTCCTGTTCCAGCTCTTCCCTCGCGTATAATTAATCGAAATTGACACTTCAAGTTGTTTTCCAGAAACGATGAACAACTAAAGGCTTCAGAATTGATATCTGAAATGCTCAAACTAAAAGCCGGTGGAACAGAACTGAGAGCACCAACAATTGCAGTGTTCAATTTGCGAATCGCCGACGTTCGATTCGGTTTGAGGCGAGACTAACGAAATACACTGTGACGTCAAAATTGCGTCACAGTGTTACCAAACCGAAAATATTTTGTCGGTTAATTCAATTCAATTATCGAAATGCAAGAGCTTATATCTCACAAACTGTACAAAATATCGAAAAACAAATAACGAATTCGTGATCAGCAGGTTCACCTCCTTTAGATTAGCCAATAAAATGCAATTGCAAATTTTGGCTGGAGAGGCCCTTTAAGTGGAATAAAAGTAACCATGAAAATGTTTACAACAGTGAAGGATAATAATCTTAGTAAGGGGAATCTTGCAAATTGTTATTGGTAGAGGCGTCTCTTTTTAGTAAGTACATTTTAAAATAGTTTTGTTAACTTAGAAGTATGCTTGTTCAATTTGCTTATTTATTGTCTTTCTTTTTGCTTATTTAATTTACTGCGTTGCTTTTTTTCTGAATTAGATACTTGCTTCAACTTTAGACCTTTGTATGTAAGAAATAAATGAAAATTTAATGATGTTGACACTCTTACAAAATTCGCACCATGAATACCAATTTTAAAATCGTTCTTTCAATATTTATATTCATAGATTCACATTCACATTTTTGGATTAAACGTTTACAAAATAAAAGCGACTGACGGAAATTGCGCAGATTTGAAGTAACGGATGCATGATATGTAAATTTGTATTATCAGAGCTAGATGAAAAATAGCCTGAAGCATACTTCTTTGCAATGTAAAGCGGTTGTAATGACCCTTTTCATATCCAGTGCCATAAAGGGGACTGAATTTTCTTTTTGACAATTTGACTGTAATGTTTTTTCAACAAATTTTCGGAAATGCTGTCATGAGATTTATCAGGATCATTCGTAAAGTATTTAAAGGAGATACAACCCTTTAAATAAATATGATAATTTACAATGTTTTGCCAACTGAATCCCCTGTTACTTCAAACCGTCCCCATTTGACGTTATGTATTCATGCCAATATAATGAAATTAGTATTCGCTGCATTGCTTGCATATCATGACATCTATGCTTCTTCCTGTGTCCTTTCAAATATCATCATTACTTAAGTATGCCTGCGATTGCTTTTAACTTGAATTCAATGCAAAGTTTATATTTAATCTATATTATATTCACATCAAATGCATCAACATAAACGTTATTTTATTCCTAATCAACTTTGACGTTGACCATATGATTTCCATTCAGTGTCGTAATCTGGCAACGTGGCCTATTAGACCCATTCTTGCCAAAAGTCACAAGCTAGCCAATTGCTGACGTCACCAAAATAAAACTCGTTATTCAATATCTTCTTCGTTTATAAACACGTTTTTTTGGTTTTAAAATATTTGAGCTGCGATTATCTTCGAAAACAACATTTATTTTTCTAATAATTGTTGTTTAGCCCTACCCTTGGTACCAAGAAATTCGGAAGGGTAAAAAATTAAAGAAGAAAGGGAGACGAGAGAAAAAGAGAGGGAAAGGTTTATACCTCTAATGAGCTTGATAATTCCCCTCCCAATTTCTTGGGCTTTGGTACCCAAGTTAATATGAAGGCATATTTCTCAAATATTGCGATTTGACATAATTAGCCATAACTTAACTTTTCATTTCGAAAATGGGAGTATATTTATACCAGATGGTCACTTAAGTTACAAAATGCTTGTAACTTGCTCTTGCTTCAGAAGATTCTTAAAGTAAAATTCAGTAGCATATAGGTTTAGCCTTATATTTTAGTAAGAAGTTGGAATGAAAAGAATTCAAGGATGAGTGAATTATAAGCCATAAAGTTTGATGCATATCAGTTTGATAGAAATTACTTCTCACTTACGCAATTTTTCCACAAATGAGGAAAAGTGAAGATCAACATTCAGGGGTGATTCGCTCATGAAATACCCATTATTATTCTTCGGATAAAGGTAAACGAAACCAAAGATCAAATCTCATTTTTGACCTCAAAGCCCTTTTCTTACTCAAAAATGTTTCCCTAATATTAATTATAACTAAAAAGTAGGAAATCAAAACTTTTTTGGGGTTTATTTCTTCTCTTTTAGAAAGCGATTTGATGTTAAAATGATTTATTTTGAAAATAGAAATATCACAGATGACCTTTTGTTTTCTTCAATCACACCAACGAAAATTTAAGCATAAAAGGTCAAAACTTTGTTTCATTTTTTGTCGGGAAAATATTTACGTTCCTAGTAAAATATTCTCTTTTGCTTTTTTTTGTTCAAATTATCATAGAGCTACCGATGTCTTCCCCTTTGCAAGAATTTATGCCCCAAGGTGGTGATAAGGGCCATAACAGGTAGCAATTGTGCAATATGTCAAAAAAACATGAGCCTTTGTGAAAATATCAATTGATATGCGTAAAGCCCTGGCAAAACGGCTAAACATTCCACTCAACATTTCTTGAGTGAAGTTTAGCGAGGGTGGCAAAACGCGACTAAACATTTCACTAAACTTTGCTCTACATTTTTTAACTGCGAGCTGTGTAGGACGCTGTGGGGTTGTAGGAGACTTTGCATAGGAATTTGCTTTCTTTTTGTTCTTAAGTATGTAAGCATAAAAGACTTCAAGTGCACGAAGTGGGCAAAAAATAAGAATTTGATAAAGAAAAGTGAAAAGAAATTACTTTTTTGCACATTGATAACAAAGTTGACTGTTAAAGAAGACACAGTAGCGTACAAGGAGATAAGCAAATGTCTCACGAAGGCATTCTAGAGATTTTGGGTCACGTAGAAACAGAAAAACCTAGAAAAACCCTGGAAAACCTTTGGATTTCCACAACTACGGCGCCTGGGCTAGCACAACAAATGTTTAATTGGTGGCAAAACGACTAAACATTCGCTAAACAACGCTCAACACCTTTGACCAGAATCAAACTTGCTCAACAACACTCAACACGACTAAACAACACTAAACAGGGTGGCAAAATGAATGAACTGTCCACTAAACAAAAGTTGTCCCTCTTTTGCGGGTACTTGTGACCAGTCCACGAAACACGTTATTGTGTTAAATTGCTTCCTGTTAGCTGTACAACCGTGAAACTTTAATGAAATCGTGAGACTTTGTAAACTTTAATGAAATCACAGTACTACCACGCCAATTTAAAGCTATTTGGCACTGGTGTTCTGTTGTTTAATCCTGGTGCATTATCGTCTGAGTTTATTGCAATGAAAGATAATGTGTTCAGTAATGGAGTGATTGAATTTGTCTGAAAAACGCCCAACGTCTAACGAGGTTTTTGTATATTCTCTGAAATATGAAATTAATCACAGTTTTATCAGCCTTAAAATCATTTGACTTCATTGCTAATATATCTGGGCAATATGCCAGTTTCTAGTTTGCCTGGTTACAACCCAAATAGGTCTAAGCGATTCTTTAAAGGGTTTAGGGTGGAGCTAAATTTCACCATTAAGGCTGGCATTCCAGGCACACTTCCTGTGGGATTGCCAGTTCAAAAGCAAATTCATGGCTAAAACTAGAAATAGCTCTTGCTAGTACTGCCCGCAAACAATTAGTTCCTTGATAATGATTGTTTTGAAAATTTAATTTGAAGAAGACATTCGAAGAAGACACCATCTTGGGTTTTCACAATTTTATAAAAACAGCTGCTCTAGTTGATGCTAAACTATTCTTTTTATAAAGAATTTTTGGTGTTCAGTTTGCTTTTGATTTATGTCCAACGCCCTTTTGAAAATCATGAAGTTTTTTGAAGGTTTGATATTTATTTTTCGTTTTCGTGAAGTAAACAAAGACGTATGAAAATGGACACGTGATAGAACGCGTACAGCTAAAATTGATTGCGATAAAGGATTCGTACAGCGATGTACAGGCGATAATCATGACAATCATAACTTTTGCTCGTACGGTATCGAGTTTTTGGGAGAAAGGTGTGGCATTCGACTGGTTTTGATTTCCAAAATTTCAAATCAAAACTTCCATCCATTGCGGAGAACCGAGCTGTGATGCAGCACCGTTTTCGTGCCAAAAAAACCGAAGGCTTTTAGCAGAGTCTTGGCAGAGCAACGCTCCGCAGATAATTGCCTTCCGCAAAAAGAGGTGGCGGCTAACGACCTCCTCGACAAAGCCGATTGATTGACAATGAAATTGATTGACAGTTGTCATGGCAGCAGAAAAGTGACAAAATCTGCTGACAAAGTGCTGACAACATGAAATGAAGCTTCCATATGCTACTTATACGCGGGGTAGACTATAAGCCCTTCACTCGCGCGCGAGTTGCGGGCAAAAACTCGCAAGGGCATCACCTCATATGAAATACCAGTTAAGGGAGATACATGGCAACGGGACAATTTAAACTTTGGATGATTTTCGCTCATAAAGTTGATCAATATTTTTAATCAGTCTCCGTGCAACGCCGTAAGCAATGTCATGTTTTATTCTTTGTCTGGTACAATCATTCCCAGGTTGTTGATTTTCTTCCAAAAATCTCTGAACGCCAGCAACTGGTTAACTGTTTTCTGCAGAAGCAAAGAAATATCATAACATTTACTAGGCCAGGGTTTTTATCACATTAGGTATTTGGTAATCGCCCCCGCTATATTTTCATCAGCGAAGGATTCCCAACCGAGCTGAAGTTTCATAGGAAAATGAAATGCGTGAAAGCCACCCTAAAACCTAAATATTTGGAAAAGTCCTTAAAACATACAAGTTTTTTATCTATTTTACTTCTGGTGAACCGAAATCAGAAATAATTTGCTTTTCAAACCGTTAAATGTTTTTTTGTGAACCATTATAAAAACTCATTCAACTGGGGTTGGAAGAAGGTACAATCACTGCCAAAATTACTTGGAACACCTAACACTTTGCGGTGTGCTTTTCTATTTTTCATTTGTTTTCTTGAATACTACCACTTCCGCCTCCCTTTCCCCCCAAAACAATGTTGAAAGTATAAAAAAATATCAAACAATCCACAAGAAAAAGCGTACTCCATAATCCCTTTCTTTTTTCTATAGAAAATCAACATTGTTCCTAGGGGGAGTGGGGGATGGCTGAATTTGCCTTTGAAAACCTACGTTAGTGTTCCAAGATTTTTGCAGTCACGTTTTCCCAAGTGAAAACCAAGTTGTAAACATCGTGCCCCAAGGGGAGTGTCCCTTCCCCAAGGGAAAAAGTCATTTTGAGATCCTTGAATATTTTTGACATCCTGAAATTCAATGGATGGCTCATAAATTATTTTATAAGTGAATGCTCCATGGTATCTTTCACAAAAGTTTCATTTACATTTCATGCATGTCTGTCATAGTTTTAGATATTATGATATTATTTCTTGAGAAAGAATCTTTCTCACACCAAAGTGGTAACAAAATTAAAGGCCCAAATCTTAATTGGGGATACAAAAACTTCAACTTTACCCATAGCACACAACAAAAAGTTTGGAGGATCAGCATTGTTCTTCTTCCT